GTACTGCTTGAGCTGTCACAGTTGTATCTTGCATGTGCATTAGCTGGAGTAGGAAACTAGGAATGGGCATTGTGCCAAGGCACTTAGATATGAACATCTCAAACACGGGGTTAAACACTCGCGAGAGCCTCTGCCTTTCGGGAGCCCAAGGATGTGGCTCTTTAGGAGAACAACTCTTAACTTCTAAAATTTTACATTTTGACATTCGTCAGCAACCTTGGGACTGAACTCGTACATTCTGGTAAGTTTTCTCAAGGACACAGAAACCATATAATAAAGTTCCTGGGATTTAAGATATTCTCAGGAAATGCACTTCATTAATGTGGGAGTAGCAGAAAGGTGAAGAGAAGAAGCTTTAGAAGCGCATGTTCTGATAAAGATACAAAGACATTTTTTCTATAATATATACTTGTGAATATTCGATTCTCTAGTCCATCTTTATTATATTACCATCTTCAAAGTTTATACATTAGAACATATACCTCACAGTGTCGTCCCTGTGTGGATCGCCTACCCTCCATTCTGAATCTTGTACGTAGTTTGAGCATCCATTTACATCTACCTTGCTGCATTTCACATGTTATCTTGCTATTTTCTTCAAATAAACAAATTATATCTTCATCCTTTGGTACAATTTTATAGCTTCCTTGGTATGGCTTTATTATTTGCATTGTTGTTGTTGTTGCAAGGAATCTCAATCTACTTTCTGCTTTTGTAATCTGCTGGAAGACCGAAGTTTCACCATAACGGCTAAATGTATGAAATAAAGAATTCTAGTGTTTCTGAATTTAAGGATGTTTTGCAGTTCCAAGTCCTTTTACTTTAAAGCACACATGGAAGGATCCTAGAGGGATATAATGATGTGGTAAATGGATTTAATACATTAGTTGCAAAGTGCAGTCCTAATCTCAGTCTTCTAACATATGTATTCTTCTCAGTTTGGTCTTTCCTCTGTACAATAAAAATTACTCTACTGAAACCTATTTTCCTGGATTTTGTATTGTCTAACAATAGATTAGAAACTAAACAAGCATATGAGACTATACAGATTAAACTGAACCACAGATTGAAACTTTGTCACCGTGGAAGAATATGCAATTATCCAAATGATTTGAAATTTGCTTAGTACATTGTTTAAAATGGAGAGGACTGAAGTACTAGAAATAATTAAATAGCATAAGAGACTACTTCCTAATGTTCTTGAGTTCCCTTTATGAAAAAAAATTCGGGCCAGCGGCATGGCCTAGCGGCTAAAGTCTTCTCCTTGAACGTGCCGGGATCCAATATGGGTGCCAGTTCTAATCCCGGCAGCTCCACTTCCCTTCCAGCTCCCTGCCTGTGGCCTGGGAAAGCAGTCCAGGACAGCCCAAAGCTTTGGGACCCTGCACCCGCGTGGGAGACGCAGAAGAAGCTCCTGGTTCCCGGCTTTGGATTGGCGCAGCACCGGCCGTTGTGCTCACTTGGGGAGTGAATCATCGGACAGAAGATCTTCCTTTCTGTCTCTCCTCCTCTCTATATGTCTGACTTTGTAATAAAAATTAAATAAATCTTTAAAAAAAAAAGAAAAAAACTGAGTTACATTAGGATGAGGAGAGATTTTTCCATTCTTCTTATGTGAAAATTACATACCTAGAGCAGGAAACTGGTAAAAAAAAGATGTTTTATACTCTTTTGTTCATAAATGATTTGAAATGTCTTATAAGACAGACATGGGTGTGTTAATGAAAGACACAGATTCACTGCTTAGGTATTAAATACAATTAATATCATAATAGTGACAAAGTTGAATATTTGTAGTGTGTTTTTAATATAATGGATGTGTGTAAATATAATTTTATATAAAGAATGAGTTAAATAAAAGCAACAATGAAGCTGTATATTTTCTCAAGGCCACATTTCATAATGAAAAATCACTGTGTGTTATGTTATTCAGAATCCAATCTGACAGTCTCAAGTGTTATAGTTCCCAGGAGCCACTGCATCGGGTCAGATATAGTTAGGAGCCCTAGTATCCAAGCCTTGCTTGGGATTGAGATCTCCATGCAAAGAATTGTCCTTGAATGTCCACTTTATTCAGTTTCCAAATCTTATGACCTGAAAAATTGGCTAAGAATGAATCTCTGAGATGAAAGTATTTGCTATATACATGTCCTATATAAACATACATATCTGCAGTATTGTTCCTAATGGTAACAGATTTAATATCAGTGAATAGAACTAAGTATCTTTTGATTTTTTTAAACAGAAACCTAAATTTGTGTATTTTTAAATAAATAGCAAAGATCATCTGTTCATAGGTGTGGGAGAGAAAGCTGCTGTTAATGTTTTACCTAGAGTGTTGTTGAGTAACATAGCACGCATCTCTGAAAGCTGGAGGAAATAGTTTACACCTTTGTTATCAGTTCTACCTGTACCCACATGTATTCATGACCAGGTTTGCTAAGCCTCACAAATTCTCCAATCCCTCAGATTGTAAATGAGTGACTCCAACTGATGAAGATTGGGCAGATGAAGAAATTGCCACTAGGAAGACTAATCCTCTTGACCAAGGTTACTGAACAGAATCATTTTTGAAACTACGTTTGGAATCTTCTGTCACCTGAAAGATCCCAGCATAGCACCCCTAACCTGTGACTCTTGTTTATATTACAGGAAGTCTGTATCCTCTGGATAATGCATGCCCTTCCTTTGTCACTCAGAATTATTCTTTTGGTTTCTTCAGTTCAGTTAGTTGTCATACTGATGCCATGGAAATTATTTCCTTTAGATATCCATTTAAAGGCATGACTAACGGCCACATTGGAGCACAGGGAGACTTGAGTTTAGGGTCACATATACTTTTTCTTATCTGTTAGGTGGATTGAAATGGGCCACCATGGAGTCTGAGGAGGCTTATGCAGGCTTTGAAGCAGCGTGACCAGAAACCTATATTCAGAACTGATTAACAGTTTACTGCTTGGCATATTTATCAATGAAGTATATAAAAGTAAGGAATTTAAGTCAGGGTAATGAGGATAAATGACAGAAAATGTACGTAGAATATAGCAGTCAACCATTAAAAACAGCATTTGCCTCACTTCCTTGACTACCACCCAGGTTGTTGTAATTTTGGAGCAATGTAAAAGATGTGAACTCATGCCAACAAATTAAAATGCATTTCATGAGAAATAGAAACCGTTTTTATGTATCTTCCACATAGAAATTTTAAAAATTGCCTTCTCTGAAGTGGTGTTATGAAAACTTAGTTTTGAAGAAACTAAGAGAACATTTGCTTACCAGATAAACATAGCAAATCACACTGAAAGATGAGTTTCTGATTTTCTATGTTGGCCTATTGCATACAGTAAGGGTTCTGATGAGTTGTCCATATCTAGAGCATGCAGCTCCATCTATCTCATACGTCTTTAAACTGGAGCAACACTTTAATCAGGCCTTGCTTTTCGCTGAAGGGAATGTGCTTGTAACAGAAACGCCTGGTTTCTGGCTGTGCTGTGGGATTCTGTTTTATGTTTTAAATCCATTCTGTATTCTGGGCTTATTTACTTTCCATCTTTTGGGATTGGACTCAGAGATACAAACAGTCTTGATGTGCAGCCCAAATATTTTCTCTGATATTTCTTAAAGATTTTATTACTATTTATTAATTTCTTCTCCAGATGCATAACTTGTAAACATAACCATACAGTATTTCCATGCATATCTTTATTTTGCAATTATACACATTTTAAGTAGAACATGTATTCTCGAATACATTTTTTGGTCATGTTTTCTAAGATGGCAGCTGGTGGTACCATGAGAAACCTCCCAGAGGAAAATATTACTTTTTGTAAATATTATTTGTGATACAAAACAGTGAAAATTGAATTACAGTTATTGTGAAGCAGTAAAGCTTTGCTTCTGAGCTCTACCAGAAGTATGTCTCTGTATTTTCCACCAAATGGAGACTATGGTTCTATGGTTCCATTTGAAACACAGGTTTATTCCACTAATATTATTTCTTAGTAATACTTCTTACAGCTCCCACCACCCCCTCACCAATCCCTACTTTGTAATGATTTTATGTGTCTGTAACGACGTTGTGTTTGCTGTTGTGTACAGTTTGGTTAGTGATGATATAACATCAGTTGTGAGCCCAGCGCCGTGGCACAGTGGTTAAGGTCCTCGCCTTGCACGCCCGGGATCCCATATGGGCGCCGGTTTTAATCCCGGTAGCCCCGCTTCCCTTCCAGCTCCCTGCCTGTGGCCTGGGAAAGCAATCGAGGACAGCCCAAAGCTTTGGAATCCTGCACCTGTGTGGGAGACCTGGAAGAGGCTCCTGGCTTCGCATTGGTGCAGCATCGGCCATTGTGCTCACTTGGGGAGTGAATCATCGGACAGAAGATCTTCCTCTCTGTCTCTCCTCTCTGTATATCCGCCTTTCCAATCAAAATTAAAAAAAAAAAAAAAATCAGTTGTTTCCAAGTGTACAAGACTTGACCAAATATTTTAACTTTTGTCAGAGAAGGGATTTGTCCTCTCATTAAGACTTCAAAATGGTAGATTCCACAAACTAATTATATTTTAATAGTCATCAACTGGGGAAATGTCCATTATGCTAAATAAAAACATTTTCAGATACTTCTATGCCTCAGAAGATGGGATAGGTCTGCTATTCTTCCCTCTAAGTGTAAAACAACAAAAGAGTCCGAACAGTGAAGATTATTACAGTTCATGAGTGTTCTTTTTTAATTTTTCTCATGATACAGTCATATACACAGAGCTTCCTGCCTCCACCTGCTCACCCCCCCCCACTGTGTTCCCAGTGTTATTACAGTAGTGTAGTCCTACAGCAACAGTCACAAGTCTAGTATTCTGCCATTTAAGTGAACATCAGTGTCACAGATACAAGAAACGGTAGATAGCCTAGTATCCTATTGTCAAAGTGTATTTAACAGCTTCATTGGGAGTCGTGGCTATTCTTTTTTTTTAAGATTTATTTTTATTATTTTTTTATTGGAAAGGGCTGCTTGGCCTCCTGCCCGCACGTGTTCTCAGCCCACCGTGACCCCGACCCTCGGCGCCCAGCATGTTCCCGGCCGCAACGGTCGGTGCTCCAGTGTAAAATCAGACCTCTCTGGAGACATTCAAGCAAAGGTTGGACAACTGCTTTTCCAGAACAGAGAAGAAACTCATGCATTGAAAAATGTGACCGATACACATACGTAAAGAGTAGGGCTGGACAAATACCAGAATCTGATCAAATAAAGCAGTTTAAGGAATTTCTTGGAACCTACAGTAAACTTACAGAAACGTGTTTTATAGACTGCATTAAAGATTTCACAACTAGAGACGTAAAGCCTGAAGCGACTACCTGTTCAGAACATTGTTTACAGAAATATTTAAAAATGGCACAAACAATATCCATGAGATTTCAGGAATATCACATTCAGCAGAATGAAGCACTGGCGGCCAAGGCAGGCCTGCTTGGCCAGCCCCGATAGGCGAGTCCCGACCGATGGACTCGAGTGAGAGATTAGCCATCCAGGGGTTGCCCCGAAATGAGGATTCTTCTGCCATGAGAAGCCATCTGTCATGGCTGACCAACAGAGGAAACCACTGCAAAAACAAAAATTACTGTTCATAAGAAGTAACTGAAATAGAAGGTCTTACTCCTGAAAAACATGATAGGATGTGAAAAAAAAATCAACAAAATAATGTTTATAATCAGCCACACTGCCTATTTCCCAAGAGGCTGACACTCAGTAGATATCAACAGATGTCACCGCTGTCTATTTTAACCGGGCAAGTCCTGCTGTGTTGTCAGTGGAGAACAGAGTGAGAGAATATTTACTCCTACCTGTCATATTGCAGGAACTGAGGACAGAGACCAGAGATAATCTTCATTGCTCAACATAGAAGTAGGCAGCAAGATGAATTTGGACTGATTTTCAACCCTTATACAAACATTTTCCAAAGTGGATCACAGATTTGACTGTAAATACAAAATTATTGAAAAGTATAAGGGACTATCTTTGGGTTCAAAGGGTAAGTCAAGTGTTCTTAGACTTCACACCAAAAGCCTGATTATTTAAAAAGGAGATTTGAGTAAATTAGAGTATGCCAAAGTTTAAAATAAAATTCTTGTGCTAAAAATTGTGATGTACAGATTAAGAGAAAGCATTTGTAACTGTAAATATGACATATAGGGCCTGGCACGGTAGCCTAGCAGCTAAAATCCTCACCTTGCACATGCCGGGATCCCACTTGGATGCTGGTTCTAATCTCAGGAGTCCTACTGTCCATTCAGCTCCCTGCTGACCTAGGAAAGCATTAAATGATGACCCAAAGCATTGAGACCCTGCACCTGTGTGGGAGACCCAGAAGAAGGTCCTGGCTCTAGCTTTGGATCGGTTCAGCTCTGGCTGTTGCAACAACTTGGGGAGTGAATCAGCAAACAGAAGATCTTCTCTGTGTCTCCTCCAATCTGTATATCTGACTTTCCAATAAAATAAATAGATAGATAGATAAGCAAATAAACAAGACATATATAGAATATGTGAAGGATTCCTAAAATTCAACTTTAAAGACAAAGTCCTGCCACAGTATGAACAAAAGACAAAGGTTTCATTCAAGAAAAATGCAAATAAACACAAAAATGCATTGAGTATTATTAATCGTTACATAAATGCAAATGAAATGTATAACACACTATCTCTACAAGCTTGTCAAAGTGATTAAAATGACACAACACTATCAAAATCTGAAGAGAATGTGGAAAGATGATGCATTAGTTAGTTTGTTGGATCTTCTATAGAAAATACTACAAATTGGCTTGCCTAAATAATAGAATTTATTTTGTGACTTTTCTAAAAATCCAAGTACAGGTGCCATCTAGATAGGCATGTAATGACTTCTGTCCTCCTGATATGCAGACAGTTATTTTCTCATCATGTCTGTGTAAGGCATTTCCTTGGTGTGGGAGAGAGTGAAGGAGAGAGAGAGATGAAGCTATTCATGGTCTCTTCCTCATCTTTTTGGACATTATTTCTGTAGGATTAGAACCTCATGGTTATGATCTCTTTTAAATGTAATTGTTGCTTTAAGAGCTGTTTCTCCAAATATAGTCACAGTGTGAGTAACATGAATTTTAGGGGTATAAGTCAGTCAATGACACTGGGTCATCCACAAATTGCATGTGGGAATATGAAATTGTGCAGCCACTCTGAACAACAAATGGCAGGTTGTAAAATATTTAAGTACATTACAAGAGGACCCAGAGATAGTACTCTTGGTTATGTACATCGTAAAAATAAAAATTGCTAATAAAAATATTCACACATGAATTTTAACGAAGTGTTTTTTTCCATAACGGCACCAAACTAGAAACAAAGTAGGTACTATTTAGTAGATGAAAAGTTAACCTGGCATACATCCTTACCATGGAGTTGAGAGGAGCAAATTATTGACTGATGCAAAAATTTGTGTGACTCTCCAGATAATTGTGCCAAGTACTGCTGGAGGTTGTATAGTCTATGTTTCTGTTGTCATAGCATTTTGAAAATGATAATATTTTGGGAGTTGGAGAATAGGTTAATTCCTGCCAGGGGCAGAGAAGAATTAAGGGTTAGAGGTAAGAGGATGTTATTAAAAAAAAAAAAAGTAACTTAAGATATCCTTGTGCTGATAGAGAGTACTCTTGGTGTATCAATTTCTGGATTGTACCAATTTCTAGATTTTGTCAAACAAAGGGTTTTCAAGATGTTGTACAATGGAAGAAGGTAAATAAAGGGCTCACAATATTTCTCTGCACTGTTTTTTTCAACTGAACTTAAACCAAGAATGCGAAGGATCTCTATGATGGCAGTTTGGGGGGAAATTCCAGTCTTATGAAATTATAATATATAATTCAAAAATTCAATATGTATATATGTATATCTCTTTAAAAAGAAATACAAGGAAACAAAAGAAAATGGGAACACCTTCCATATTCATAGATAGATAAAAGTAATTATATCAAATGATCCATACTAGTAAAAGTGATTTACAGATTCAATGAGATCCCACATAAAATGCCTATGACATTGCTGTCACATTTGGAAAAAGTGACACTAAAATTCGTATGGAAATATGAGATCCTGAATAGCTAAAAGCAGTCTTAAACAAGAAACACAATGCTGGAAATATCACAAAATCAAACTTCAAGATTTGCAATACGAACATTGGTCATTCAGTAGCATCTTATTTTACTTCATGCTGTTGTAAATTTCCTGTTTTTCTTCCTATTGATATTTTATTTCATGGCTTTTCATTTAATGGGACGTACAGTAACTGTGTAATAGGGACGGTCACATCCAGATGTGAAGATGCAATTAAATACCTGTCTCTACTTCCAAATTAAAGATGAACTCCCAATGAAATTGTTAAATATATCTTGACAATAGGATGCTGGACTGCCTGCCATTGTTCATACCTACAACGTCAGGATACACTTAAATAACAGAATGATGGACTTAGGCTGCTTGTGAAGGACTAGACTACTATACTAATATGGGAAGAGTCAGCGGGGGAAGGGACTTTGGGAGGATGAAAGCAAAATCAAGAAGTCTATGAAACTAAATCATAAAATAATGAATAAATGTAAAAATCCCTTGTGGTACTGGCACAAAATAGTCATGCAGATCAATGGTAAAGAATATAAATATCATATTCACTTATGCATTTGCAGCCAACTAGTTTTTACAGGCAAATTAAAATCAATTCTTGGAGAAAGAACAATCTTTTGGATAAATGATGCTGGAAAAATTAGATCTATGTGTGCAGAGTATGAAAGAGGATCCTTATCTTACACTTTACATAAAAATCAACTCTGAAATGGATCAAGGACCAAAAGCTGTGGCTTGATACCATAAAACTATATAGAGAAACCGCAAGACAAAAATGCAGGCAAAGACCTCTTGGAAAAGGCTCAAGAATCACAGGTAATTAAGATAAAAGTAAACAAATGGATTACATCAATCAGAGAAGCTTCTGCACCTCAAAGGAAGCACTCCACAAACTGAAAAGGCAATCAATAGAATGGCCAAAAATGTTTGCAAATGCAACTATTAGAGCATCAATATCCAGGATCTTTAAAGAGTGAAAGAAAATCAGTAAGAAAAAAAAAAAATCCAGGCAAAAAATAGGCAAAGGGTATGGACAGACAATTTAAAAAAATTACAACAACAACAAAAAAATGAAATACAAATGGCTAACAGAATTGTAAAAAAATACTAGCCATATGAGGTATTACCTCACTCTGGTTAGAATACATATCACCTGAAAATAATAATTTTTAAAAGTGCTGGTGAAGATGTAGGGGAAAGGGTACCCTAATCCACTATTTGAAGACATGTGAACTAATAAAATCATTATGGAAAATGTTACAGAGATTTCTCAAAGATACGAAAATTATCCTGCCATCTACTGCAGGACTCAACCATTTATTTCATGGGAATTTACCCAAAAAATGAAATCAACATAAGAGAGAGTTATTTGCATGCCCATGCTTATTGTAGCTCAAACTACAATGGTTAGGATGGAATCAACCCACATGTGTATCAACAGGTGACTTTGCAAAGAAAATGTGGTCTATATACATTATGTAATACTATTCAGCCATAATAAAAGGATGAAATTATGCCTTTTACAATACAATGGATGCAACTGGAAACCATTAGGCTCACTGAAATAATCCACTACCAGCAATAACAACAAATATTATGTTTTCCCTGATCAGTCCTAATACACACAGTGAAAGTAATGTAGTCTATGAGCAACATCAACATCATGAGATTTTATCATTATTTTAGTATGCTTCGATACTTTTGCCTTACTATGGTGTATTTTTTCCTATTTGCTATTTACTGAAATCTTTACCAATGCAGTGTCAAACCAGTGAATACAATGTGAAACGAAAGTATTCCATTGTAAAAACTACTTTAAAAAAGAAATAAGGAAGAGAGAAGGTGGGAGAGGAATGCAGAAAAGAGCATGGGCAGGATGGGTATTGTAGAATATGTGAAATGTGTTCACTTTATATAAATAAGTTTTTTTTTTTAAAGAAACATTGGACTAGTGGGGGGAATCCCAGTACCTACAACTGTGTTACATAATGTAATCTAATAAAAAAAAAAAAGAAACATTGGACTAGATATGGACAGGCATTTTTCAAAGGATGAAGTACAAATGGCCAACAAATACTTGCAGAAATGTTCAGAATCACTATTCATTACAGAAATGTGAATCAAAACTAGTAAGAGTATTCACCTTATCCCAATTAGGATGGCTATAACCCAACCCAAATATTAGCAAATGCTGATGAGGATGTGGAGGGAAAGTTTCTCTAATATATTGTTAAGAATGTATCCCAGCACAACCTATTACAATTATGGAAGACAGCATAGAGATTCCATATGACACAGTCATTCCAATCCTGGAAAAGAAAAATGTATTCAGCATTTTGAAAATGCTATCT